CACCTGTCTCTCCATCCCAGTTCCCCCATATCTGTCTCCCTTCAACATAAGCATGAAAACAAGTCAATACAACATATGACGACATAAAGCACAGCAGAGAAACATCCACAGCCTTCTTACCTGTAGCCAGCAGCTTGTTGGCGATCGTGAGGGTTGTGGGCGTGGGGTTGAGAGGCACTGCCTTGTGTGGCTCCTCCCTCCCTACTAGTGCCCGTCTCCTGGTACGCCCGTGCCCGCCTGGCGATACGCGGGTGGGGGAGGAGCGTGGAGAGAAAAAGCTTAGAATTCTTTAAAATGTATATGATAACATTCAACACAATGTATATATATATACAGGCCATACTTTGGGGGAAAATGATAAAGTCCCTTCATGATATATAGGCATCTCGTAGGAAATATTGTGATCATGAGCATGGATGTAATGACATTAAGATGATATAGACGTATGTGAGAATAAAACCTGAAAAGTTTGTGAATTCACTCAAATATATATACTAATATGTAGAGGTAAGAGTATCTGTGAGTATACTTTCATAACTATTCATAATTGATGTATTACCATTGAAAGTTACAGAGGTTTGTCATAGGAGGGAGATTTTTACTTCGAGAATCCAAAAAGTGTGCAAAGGGACATGGAAAGAATCATAAGCTATACGTGCTGACGGAAGATGACTCACGTTCTGGGCATGGTGCAGAAGGACGGGTTGAGACTGTGAAGAGGCAGACTGCCCCCGTATTGGTGCATGTCCTGGAGAGGCAGCTGTCCGACCTGCGGCTGCGGCAGATCCAGTAGGTCGGGATACTGGCCGTTGCTACTTCCCACGGACGCCTGCGATGCTGCGCGGTGACACATCCTGTGCAGGATGACGTCCTTTTGGTGGTCGGAGAGGTCCCTCCACCTCGTCCTTTCGTCGGGGTTCATCTGCGCTCCTCCGGCGTCGGTCTTGGCTATGTCGACATAGGACACGTTGCTGGGGGCAGTGGTAGGAACGCTTGGCCCCTGGATAGGTTCCTGCTGCAGGACAGGACTTTCGCCTTTCTCCAGGACTCTGCTGGAGAAGTCCTCCATAGATATGTCTCTGTGCCGCCAGGATTGTCTTTGTTGCGGTCGACGCGGAGACACCTCGAGCTCGTTCGTCGGGACGATGTGGTAGCCAGCGAGTTTGTGCTCGTCCGCCGTCGCCGCCCGGGACGAGTGGGCCGCCACCGTCTTGTCGGCGTCCTCCTCTGGCTGCCGTCCGCTTCGCACCTTACAGTATATAAGACTACACACGATGAGCAAGACGACCACTAGAATGCAAATCCCTCCTAAAAGGCCGCCCTTCATGTAATTATTATCTATGTTGGCGACTCTCACCTCGGCCACCTCGTGGGACACCTGCAGCGTCAGATTGACCTCCCTGCGACCCGCCCTGTTCTCCGCCACGCACCGGTACTGACCCTGGTCCAGGGGGGTCACGTCCATGATGGTCAGGTTCGAAATCCTCGATGTATAAAAGGGCGTCAGGAACTCAAACAGGGAGTAGCGCTGGGACTCGCTGGCGTTGTACAGCTGGCTCTCCCCTATGACCCACGTGATGGTCGTCTCGACCTCCGACTCGACGCGACACGCCAGGGACACGTTCTCGCCCTCAGCCGCGAGGACCCTCGGCGCCAGGGCAGTGACCTGCGGCGCGCACACGAAGTCCTCGTCGTCCAAGATGAGCCAGTCGCCGCCCTCGAGCCACATCGGCTCCGTGCACGTCGGGGGAACCGTCGGGGCCAAGTTGCGGTCCAGCATCCAGTTCCTGAGCGGCCGCAGGAGGCAGTCACAGTGCCAGGGGTTGCCGTCCAGGTGCAGCACGCGCAGCATGGTCAGTGGCATCACGTCCTGCGCATCCAGAGTGACCAGCTTGTTGCTAGATAAGTCGAGAACCTCGAGCGACACCAGGTTCTGCAGGGCGCCGCCCTCGAGTCGCGTCAGGTTGTTGTGGCTGAGGTCCAGGTTGACCAGCTCGGCGGTGGGAGCAAACGCCAGCTTGGGGATGGTGGTGAGCTTGTTGTAGGAGAGGATGAGGTGGCGCAGGCCGCCCATGTCCGTGAGGGCGGCGGTGGGAACGCTCTGGAGAAGGTTGTTGCTGAGGTCGAGCTCGACCACGTTGGCGAGCATCCGGAAGGCGCCCTTCTCCAGCCGCTTCAGGTTGCAGAAGCTGAGCCAGACCTTCTGCAGGTTGACGAGGCCCGTGTAGACGAAGGAGTCTCGCGGGAGGATCCGCAGGTTGTTGTGGCGTAGGTCGAGGACCTGCGTCGAGGGGTCCAGCCCGCGCGGGATGTCGATGAAGTGGGCGTTGCGGCAGGCGACCACCTCCTTGCCGTCGCGCCACTTGCACTCGCACACTTTGGGACAGCCGCCCCACACCCCGACGCCCATCCACGCCCACACCCACACACACGCCCACACCAAGGCCGTGCGCGTCTTGGGCTGATAGAAAGAGCTGCGAGAGCCCTGATGTGTGCTCAT